CAAAGCAACATCTTAAAAGAGAATAATTTCTGTGAGCGGGGTTACGGGCCTTTTTTTGAGCACGAAGCAACTTCTGAACGGATGACATCTTCTAGAGAATATCCGACGATAGGAAGTAGAACGTGTTTCCTAGAACTGTAGCGTACGGTAGCTTTAGGTCATTGCTCCTATTCGCCAACTGTTGTTTTTTATTACTATATGGGTAAAGTGACGGTGATGGATTACGATACCGCATGCAACAGTTATTACTTTCTACAAAGTGCTTCCAAATTGGTTTTCAATATAGGCGGATGCGCCCGTCTCTCGATCGGAATAGAAAAAATAGGTTGAAACAGGGTTGAATAATGAAAAAGTTTTCAAAGCAACTAATAGACATTTAATAAAAAATCCCATCACATACCTAACTTTAATTAATAAAAGAAATTTATCATCTACTAATAAAAAAATTCATCATTTGCAGAAAAGCTCTGACAAGATAAATAAGCTATGGTGATAAATATCAAAGATTTATATGAAAAGAACAGAAAAAATCTTCCTTCTCTCCTCCAAAGGGAAAAATGAAATTCACCTACCAGCCTTCACGGCTTAGAATGCAATCAATCCATCTTATCCTTGGGTCCATAAATATTTAATTCAAATTTCATTTTATCAAAAAGATCTACTTACCCTTTCTTTTTCTTTAGTTATTTATTAAAAAAAAAGAGAAAATTTACATTTTCCCACATTTTTTTTTTTTTTTTTTCATTTAAAGTTTTATTTTAAAACAAAAAAAAAAAAGGTTGCTATATACACACACATACACTTAAATTTATAAAAGTTATTATTCTCCTATAATATTCACAATACGTACAATTTCCGTTGGTCTTTGCTCTTACTAATGGAATATGTGCCTCCGCTGGCGTATCGTCACGGGTGCATTTTGTTTCTTTTATAGAGTAAATTTACATTATATTTTATGTATAATAATTTTTTCTTTTTTTTTGTTTTTCCGGTTTACATTACATGCACGATAACAAATATACAAAAAATTACTACTAAAGCTAATAGACATACAAGAAAAGGTACGTGACCTTGTTCAGTGTTATGATAAACATTGACGATAGTGAAACATATTCAAAAATGTTATTTTATCTACATTACATACATATAAGTTAAAATATTTTTACATATTTTACAAGAGTAAGGTTTTTTGATTTATATAAATGTTTCTTATCAAAGTTTTTTTTTTTTTTTTTTTAATAAAATCTTTACATTTTTGGTTTTAGTTTTTTTTCTTTTTTTTATTTTTTTCTTACATTAACAAAAAAATCGTTGCCTTGCTTTAAAATTTATCCAGAGTTTCTGTAATGCAAAAACTTATACTAATCGAGATTTTTTAAACTCAAAATGAATATTGGATTTGATTTAACAGTGTATACGTGCATTCGTGCGTCTGTCTATTTACTAAAATCACAATTTCAATTTTAAAACTTTATAACTTGTACTTAATATTAAAATGACAAACTTCATCGAAAACTTTTACTTTTTCTTTTACTCTTTCTTCTTCTTCAGTTAATTAAAGTATTATAATCGGCTAAGAGACCGAGTATTAACACTTGGCTTACTACGGTGCAAAAAATTAGGAACAAAAATGAAGAATTTGAATCATAGAAAAATGACCTTTCGAATAACTCTTAAATGTGAAGAGATTCAAAGGAGATCATCGTCTTAGTCCAAATGATCTATAATGAATCTTTTAATAAAGAACTAATTATCATTTTTCATCTTTGTTACAAAAAGTAAAAAATTAAATTTTATTGCCATAGAAAGGCTTACTTTCTTGTCATGAGAACCCTTATAGGCAGGCTGTTCCGGAAAATGGGAGCATCTGGTTCAAACTTACTACAGCGAACTCTGTGTCAATTCGGTTAATAAAACATTGAAAATAAGACTTTATTGTCCAACAAAGCCTTCTATTGGCCGGTATGTTTGTTTAGGGGTCTGTTCAAAATATGGTCTCATCCCAATCTGTGTCAATTCGGTTAATAAAACATTGAAAATAAGACTTTATTGTCTAACAAAGCCTTCTATTGGCCGGTATGTTTGTTTAGGGGACTGTTCAAAATATAGTCTCATCCCAATCGAATTTTCTATATTTATTTGCTGAGCAAGTTTTATTCGCCGCTTCTTCTCGAGAAATATAAGATATTATATGTATTTTTCATCGGACGGACGGCTTAAATGACGAGCATTCGTTGAAATGAATTTTACCGTAGACGTAGCCGTCGGGACGTGAAATGTTTGATTTGATTTTGAGATTAAGATTTGTTGATATTTGAAAACATCAACTTTTTGAAAGGGATGCGAATGCCAAGATAATTATTGTGGACAGTGAACGGGTCGCTTATATTCAATTAGTGCTACACCAGATTATTATACATCGAAATATCTCGAAAACAAGAATATATTAAAAGGTATCAAAGAGACCGACAGACTGACAGACAATCAGACCGGTTTAAATTATTTTCTAAATGATGGATATATTGAAGGATTGGTTTATTTTCACCCAAAACAAGAGTACTGCGTATATCTCTAAAATCTTAGCAGATCCTTATCAAACATGGTGTTGTAGAGCAAAAAAAAAAAAACCAAATCAACATTTGCTGATTGGTGTGAATTAAAGCTTAATCCTTTTCATTACTTCTTGCACCAAAACTTATCTGTCGAGGTAAGCTCGACACTATATTATTTAAAATTATAAAATTTTTTCCTGGTTTTTTTTTTTTTGAATACTAAATGTGTCGCGATCCGAGCGCTTCTATTGAAAGCTCTTTTTTGCAAATTATTCAAATAGTTAGTGGTAGTTAAAAAAAATGATATAAAAAGTTTACTCACTTCTCATGCTATCATAGGAGGTGATTTTGGTGATTGGCATGTTTTCGAATGAATTTCACGAATAAAGCTCCCTTTGCTCCCTTTTTATTAAGATACTTATGAATATTTGGCCCATTTAGATATGTTCTACTAAATCGTTGGAATTTTATCACAGCAAGCACGTTTGGTGTAAGAGAAAAAAAAGCTATAGACTGAATTCTTTTTCCCGTTGGTACATTCTTTCGAACCATTTCTTTGATATCTCTCCAAGTTTCTACAGTAAAATTCATAAAGGCGAAAGAGCAGTTTAAAACGCTCTTTTATAAGTTTTCAGCATCATAATGATTCCCTTAAACATTCAAGAATACTACCCAAAAGGCTTTTGTGCAATGAGGGAGTTTTTTAAAACTATATGGTCCCAGCTTTACGCGGTCAACTTTCAAGTAATATAATGCATTATCCCATCCACTTACTGCTTAGGAATTGAATTAATATGGAACCGAATTTTGATATCATTACGTATTCGTATAAGGAAAGTATTGCATATTGAAAATAAATTGAAAAATTTTTTTTGTTTAGAAACTTCATGACATAAAATTTTAAATAATATAAAATAATAGCTAAGGATTAACTGATTAAGTTTAAATTTCTGCTACAGTCTCTTAATAATACTCTCTGATGAAGATTTGAATGCTCTTTTGATTGGTTGATGGATTGCCAGGTACTTTTGAAAATGTATAAATTCTTACCAGAAACCGTTGCTAATTTTCTCTTTCTAACATTTTAAAGAAACCCTTTTCTCTTCATTAAGTAACGAAAAATATTTCGAGAATTCTTTTCAGCTTTTATTTTAAATAGCAAGAGAGCTGAAGAGATTTTGAAAAAAAAAAAAAAAACAACACAAAACAAGTAAGAAACTTATATTCGATTGTGACTCAATCTTTTATATCCTTCGCCATTATCCTAAAAAAAATAAAGAAATAAATTTTCATGCTCTCATACTATGAAGTGGGCGCAGCTAATCTTTTTTATTTTCGCTTCGTTCACATTTAATTGATATTGTTTATGTCTTATTCCTTCTCAAAAGCAGAGGTGGTTCTGTGACCGCGTTCTTCGACCGTCTACGCCAATTTTCAATACCAATCTGCTTGCAAGAATTTTCAAGGTTTCCATCAAATTTGATGTTGATAGCTTCATCTTTACCGCCAGGAGAGTTTTCACGATAGACACACGCACGGACAAGTTAAAATCGATTTAGGATTTGATACTGATCAGAAATATATATGGTCTGTGGAACTTCTGGCGTTTCTACGCTCTGGGCGTTGCAAACGTCATGACAAAATGGATATTCCTTTCATCTCTCGGTGATGGGTATAAACGGATTTCTCCTGAGTACTGCTTAACTCTTAAATAGTTTAACAAATATGTAGAAAGGCGTTTTAAAAATTTGCTTTAAATAGATTAGTCACTCGTATTAACAAAGCAGCGGTTTGCCTCAGCCGAGTCCGGTTAAGTCATTACTTTAAATTGAAAATGTTAGCAGAGAGGATGATAATCAAATTTTCAAAAACCTTTTCGAAATTCTCTTTCAAACCCCATATATTTATTTATTTTTTTTAAGTTTACAGAAACTCATGATCAAAATTATCCAGTTTTGGAAGACAAATGATTTTCCAAAAGTAATTCGATTCCCAGAATCAATCTTAGCTTATGTCATTCAATGCGGCTCCATGGGATAAATCGTTGTCAGCAACGAGTCCGCCTTAAAACTTATTCCCGGCTCATCAGTTGCTTTCCAAATGATCACATTTTCGTTTTATAAAAATGTAAAATAGTCCTCTGGACTTGAGAAATACCGATAAGAGTTAGTAAACAGCGATGAATTTAAAGAAATTGAGCAAACTTTTTTGGAATCAGACTTTAATCGTTTGATTAAATTTTAGTAGTCAAACGCGCGCATCCTTTTCACTATTTACAGGTGATGAAGCCACGATATATTTTACGTCTCTTTTCAGACTTACTCTTCTCGGTTTATTTTTTGTTTGCCGGGATGCACTTAAATAAAATATAAAGTGTTTGATGGCTTTACTCATTTTTATTGCTTCACGCTTTATTTCTCTTCTGGTTTTTTTTTTTTTTTTTTTTCGTATAGTTTCATTGCCTTACACAGAGTTCTCCTCTAAACCCTATTATAAATGTAAAAAGCAAAAAAAAAAAAGCAGAAAGAAAATACTAATTAAAAGGCGAACTTTTTTTTTGACTTAATAGTGTGCCAGTCAGCTTTGCTAAAAATATGTTTTTAAAGGAAAAACAAAAATAAAAAAAAAAAATAAAAAATCTCTAATATACGTACCTTCATTAAAGGACTGACAGCTCGAGGCATTACAGCTAAAGCTGTGGCGGCGGGTAGAATATGTAAAGCACCGTTCGAACCGCGTTGCAAAGACAACGAGTGATGTTGACCTAATAAAGTGGTTGTGGTGGTCGATGAAACGCACGATTCACGCTTGCCTTTACCGTAATACGATGTTAAAGGTCTAAAGAGTGAAAACAATGAGTAGTGATTTTGTATGAGTTAATGAGCGCGTGTTTAGAGGTTAAGCGAACCTTGTGCTTTCAGTTTTTGGTGAAATATCTTTAGAGAAACTTTTTGTAGTGTAACTGTTAAAATGAACATTTAATTAAAAGAGAAAGTAAAAATTATTACTATTTTTATTTTTATTTATTTATTTATTTTTTATTATATAACAATTACCGTTTCGATTGATTTAATCGAATGTTACGTTGATCCTGCCAGTTGGCTATGTGATGTCTTAAAGCATTGCGTACTTCTGAATTGAGAAAACAATAAAAAAGTGACACTGAAAAGCCCTGAAATAAAACGCATACAATATGCGGACGCACCCGCATCCATATACTTTACATGTCAGCTTTTTTTTTTTTGTTGTTGTTGTTAATGTTGTTAACATGACAAAGATTTCAACTTACTTGTGTGCTTAAGAGCACCGAACGCAATACAGCAAACATATGACTCATAATGCCACCTTCGTTGGGTCCGGCCAATACCACCAGATATGTTATGCCAAACAAAGGTATCAAAACTAGTAAAGCTTTAGCCGCTTTACGATACTGACGTGTCTCGACAGTGTTGGCAGACCGTAGTTTTGTTATCAAGACCTTGAACGTGAACGATTGTGTGTAAAAATTATTACCTGATATCTATATAGACTCACTCACCCACATGATTATCAATAAAAAAATTAAATTTATTAAGAGCACCGCGCATACAGGTCCTTGAAATATCCAATCGACATGAGTTTCATGCATCCAGGGACAACCCATTATTTCAATCTACAAAACATAGTACGTACCACTCATTTCATCAAAGTCAAAATATATCAGCGCACACATGTACATCTATACATATATATATATATATATGTGTGTGCTTGGGTAAAGTGTTTGTGAACATGCGTTAACTCACCTCTTCTTTCTCATGCGAGAGAGTCAGGCCTTTGGCAATTGTCCAAATGATTATAAACACAGCAGGACCACCTGTAAGCACAAGTTTTAACAAAGCTTTTAAAATTTTAACATTTAATTACCGGAAGTTCTCTTGCATACATACAATCAAAAAAATAATAAAGAAATTTCTGTTTAACTTTTCATTATTACCGTTCTTGTTGTTATTATTACCTTATGATTAAATAATATATTTTCATTTTTCCTTTATTTTTTATTTTTTTTTTTTCAACATTATTTCATAAAAAATATAATTAATTTAAAACTTACCCCAACCTATTAAAACATAAATGTTGAAACGTATATTATCACTGGAAAACGTTTTCACCACCAACATGTATAAGTAGAGGCCTGCACAACATTATTAAAAATCAATGTTGTTTTTTTTTTTTTTTTGCGATTTGTAGGCGTTCTCGTCGCAAGAGAAATAAAAAATTATAATAAATAAAAAAAATAAAAAAAGAGAAAACCATCATAGCAATGAGAAAATGTTCATTCATTTGCAAAATTTATTAAAATTGATTTAAACCTGAAAGCTTAAAAAAATACATTTTATGACGCATATCGAATAATTTAAGAAATTACTTATATAGAAACGAGTGAAAACACTCTAGTGAGCCACGGCCTGTCATAAACCACTCGAAAGATATTCTTATACCAACTTGTCAAAATGAGGCGATATATCGTCCTATTCAAACCATTTTCAATAGCATTCAGCCTTGGGTCAACGCCTGCCGATCTGCCAAATTTCACTAAAATATTACAAAAATTGCGCCCAACAGGTAGAAGACGAGAGAAAAACTTGGGCAAGCGGATGCATAAGCTTAGATCGGAAGGTGGTTCTAAATCGTTCGGTATAATAAAAGGTGGACTTACCTCAAGTCCGTCTGCGTGGCGCATACATCTCCACAATCTTAATGTACCTTTGTACCCCAAGTGGCGCAGGGTAAAATTGCTTTCTAAGTTTTTAAGAAAGTATACGGGATAAGTCCTTTATGCATATGTATATCTAGAACCAAGTAAACAAAGCTTCCTAAGATAGTTTAAAGTAAGTTTCTACAATTTTTACTTGATTACTCTCTCACTTAGTTTACAACACTTAAGTAAAATAATAGAAAGAAAGTATTACTTTCTGAAAATCCATCAAAATCTGTCGAGTTCCTATTCGTTTCTAAATATATCTTGGAATACCTATCACTAAATATGACATACATCTTTAAAGAATATAAAAAATAGGAAAAAAAAGGGGGAAATTAACCTAATATTCTGAACGTACTAAGTTAGCCAAGTTACCAATTCGCTGCTTGAAAAACTGCGAACAGAATTAGCGTAAATTTGTCTGCATCAGGCGATACATGCGCGCAACAGATGAAGCATTGATCAATAATTAACGGGACTTACACGTAGAGTGGGCATTCACCTGCTTTAAAAAAAAAAAAAAACTTCAAATATTACTTTAAAGCTGACCAACTCACAAGCAACGCCCTGCCGAAAGCGCGTATTGCAATGAGCTAAGGGAGGTTACTTCTGTCATTTTGAAAACAATGGAAGGATCCAAATTTCATGCGTTTGTTTGCAATAGTTTAGTAAGAACTAAGTAAGGAAATTATATTCGATCTTGACCGAATCTTTTATATCCATCACCGTGACCAGTGGGCACAGCTGACTTTTTCTATTTGCAAAATAAAAGTTTTTGTCGCATAGAAGTGTGGGCGTGTGCTGTAAAAATTTTAAGTCCCGCCCAAATTCTTGTGCAACTTTGTAGGCAAAATTTCGCCAACGGGAGAGTGTTTATTACAATTATTACACAGTTCCGCAGAAAGATAGATGGACAGACGGACATGTTCAGGTTCATTCTAAATTTTGACACTGGCCAACATTTTATAGACTTTGTGGGATTTTTGAAACTTGTTACTGCCCCTTTCAAAGATATTGAAAAAAAATAATTTTTATATAATATTATATTAGCGGAGCCTTGGTCCATTTTGATAATTTTTATTTTCGCCCAAAAAATATGCGTTCAAATTCTTATACATTTAGATGTTATAGATTATGAGTAATGACCAAAAAACAATTTTTTATTCCTTTTAAAAAGGAGAAGTCTTCTCAGTCTACGTGATACTGTAGGCGTGTCCTTCAACCGATTTGTATTATTTTCAAAACCAACCTTGTGCAAAAAGTAGTTTATGGATAATGAACAAAAAAATGATTTCTTATTCTTTTTGGAAAACAGAGGCGTGCTTGCTTTATCGAGTACTGTAGGCGTGTCCTTCAACCGATTTGTATTATTTTTAAAACCAACCTTGTGCAAAAAGTAGTTTATGGATTATGAGCAAAAAAATGATTTCTTATTCTTTTTGGAAAACAGAGGTTTTTGCACTTTACCCAATACTGTAGGCGTGCCCTGCGACCGATTTGGCTTATTTTTAAAAACGACCTTGTACAAAGAAAAGTTTATGAATAATGAACAAAAAGATGATTTCTTATTCTTTTTGGAAAGTAGACGTGTGCTTGCTTTACCGAGTACTGTAGGCGTGTCCTTTAAACGATTTGGCCCATTTTAAATACGAACTTGCGAGCAAGAGTTTGCAATGTTTCTATCAGATTTCAAGTCAATAGCTTCATTTTTGCGGCCGGTGCCATGTTTAGGCACACAAACGAACCGATGGACACGTGCTGATCGACAATATACATGTTTGGGGG